CTACGGGTGTGCTGAGAGAGACCACCCTGGTGTCTACGCCAAGGTAACGTTCAACAATGAAAATTCAATCAACACACTGTGTGTCCGGTTTCTTGCTGATTCACTGTTCTAACTGTGGTTCTCTTCATTTGTAGGTCTGCCTCTTCAACGAGTGGCTGGAGAACACCATGGCCAGCTACTAAGAGATCCAAACAAGCAAATTCAGTCAAGAAGCTCACAATCATTTGTTTCTGATGTCCCATCTGTTGTACTGAACAATATGGCTGATAAAAAGTGTAAAGCAAAAAAATTCACGGAGATGGCGCTTTTGTGTGTGTGTGTGCATTGCACTATGCTACCAGGTTTGAATTGTTATGATAAATACAGATTCCTCATAGCTGCTATAGTTAGAAATGTACACGGAATTCACTTGGCATTAATTGTTGCTGACATATTTCCTTACATGGTGTGTTATGAATTGGCAGTTTACCTTACAATAATAAAAACCTATTGAGCAAGTGATATTATCAAGATGATAAGATACTTAATTAACAGGTAAAAAAAAACACAAACAAACAAAGTAGGTGTCACATCCATTGCTTACAAACAAATGACAAAACAAATGTCAATGCATTGTTTATTTCTCTGACATAATTGTGATTGTTGTTGCCTTCAGACTCACGCTCCGAAGTTGATGTTGTGATATACCTAGCTCTAAAATGTTGCATTGAATTTGATACTTTCACATTTTATTTTGATTGAACTGATGATGTTTGAATCAACATCATTTTTGGGTTCATTTTATGCATCTTTGTGGAAAATGCTTCTTCCATTGCAGCAACGGGTTTCAAATCAACGTTTATATTATGTTTATATACCACAAAATGGTTTCCTAATACAATACAACAAATATTCTTGCCCTTCTGGGCTCTTCCACATTAGGATATCCCCTCAAATTGAACCCTCTTTGACAGTGTTTTTATAAAGCAGCTGGGGACGACAGGTACTTCTGCATAGTACTCGAAGTCTCACGACTCATTAGAGTAGAGATGTCTGTGGCGGTTGTTTTCAATTAATAATTCAACTTAATTTCCCAGCATTTAGAATGGGAATACATTTATTATACATGGATATATAAAACAATTTTTAAAAGGGACTTTAATGTTTTACATTTAGTAATTGATTTACTAATCTGTCATATTCCATTTCATCACCTCATCTCTTTCTGTGTCTTGTTTCACTGTGATGATGATGATGGTGATGGTGATGGTGATGATGATGAGGGATAATCCACATTGCTGTCTGTGAAGAACAGATGGGGGACATTTCTGTGCAACTTCCCATTAATTTTTCCGACAATCTATTGCTTGCTGCAAAAGTGTTAAACAAGACGTGTGCCATCACTTTCAACATGACTGACTGCTGCTTCACAACCAACAGCTTCAACTGACCTTTCATGGACAAGAAAAGAAGGCAATTATGGTAAGAAGGGCATTTCTATTCTTGTTGAAGGGTCAAAGTAATTGCAGTGTTTTGGGGCATCACGTTCCTGAATGATGGTGATAGTTTAAGGTGATGATTTTCTTTTTTTAGTAACAGATGATCAATTGAAAATGTGTGACTTCAAGCTTGTGTTGAATCAGGTCCTATCTGTTTTTTTTTTTGCTCAGCCTAAAGTGACTTCAAAAGCTTATTTTTTAAAAATAAAGAAACTTTTTCTTTCATTCTCTTGAAGAACAGTAGAGCACCACATTATTAGAAACCTCACAGAATGAATTTCTTTAGCATCATCCTTTTAAACTAAAGGAAGGAGAGTATGAGTAAAAAACAAATGACCTGCTGAGGAAACATACTGTCTGTTTTATTTGATTTCTCTGCCACCAGATTTTTGGTGGAGACCAAGTTCTCGTTTGTAAATGGAAATCATTGAACACATTTCAATGGAAGTCTAACTCCTCTTCAGATTCTTGTCGGATTCTGACATTGATAAATGAGGTGTTGCAGCATCTGCACCCTTCCTTTCCAGGTTTATAAAGCCTTCTGCACTCAGGAGACAGAAAATCAAAATGAGAGCAGTAGCCTTTTCAAGTGCTGCGACAAAAAAAAGAGGAAAAGACTAACAAAATCTTTTTACCACTATTCATGCAGCTTTTGAATGCTAAACACCAATGCTCAATACACTTGTTAACAGGTGAACGCAACACTTTGTGTGTCTTATTTTGATGAAAATCTCATGGATTGATTGTTGATGTGGGTCAAGAAAAGGCTAATTCACACACAATATGTTAGATTTGCTCACAAGCTGATGCAATGTTGTGAATTTTTACAGTGTACTGACATTAACTAGCTGTAACTGTTTGATTGTGGTTTATATTTTTTTTGGTGGAAATGTCACCACTGACTTGAAACAAACCCAGAAAACAGTATTGCTGCATTGTGAGCAGATACTAATGTCGACAATAATGTACACAGTGATGCATCACAAAATTGTAGATTTTATTGATTGTGCCCTGACTAAACACATGTCACATCTCTCTCTCTCTCTCTCTCTCTCTCTCTCTCTCTCTCTCTCTCTCTCCCCCCCACAGTTTGTCATCATGGCTCCCAGCTGCTCTCCCACTGCTTTTCTTTTTGACACTACCCACCACCACCTCCTGACTCTCTCAGTTTAAATCTCCCTCTGGTTTCCCCTCTCCCACGTAGCTCTGTGATGGGAGCTCACAGCCTAGGTGTATCTGGAGAGAATATCGTTGATCCAGGGCATCAGAGAGCAGACTTTGGTGTAAACACCCGGGTAGTTGGGTTGAGCGCAGCCCTGGCCCCAGGAGACAATACCTTGCAGCTCTCCATTACACACCAGAGGACCACCAGAGTCACCCTGAGCAGGTAAGAGAGAAAAGTTTATTCCTTCCAGCAATGCATCCCATTAAACATGTTTTTCTTTTCTGTGTAATTGTGTGGAAATACCTGACAAGCATCCTTGCCTCCCTCCAGGTATCCAGCGCACACCATGCGGTCAGTGATCATGCCGGGGTAGGAACCATCGCAGTCCTTGTTAGACAGAATGGGGACGTCCACACACTGCAGGTAAAACGGGTTGAACACTGCAGATAAGAACAACAAAAACAGATTCCTTTAAGTATTCAACATGACCATATAATATCAAACCACTGGGGCTATCTCCAAAATGTCGACTTTTGGAGCTTAAAGTGCAGCAATTTGGTTTTAATTTATCTGCCAAGAGTAATAAATGATCCACCACCCTTGAATAGTGAAGGTTTCCTGTCGTTCTTTAGCAACCATAACTAGATAGGCTAAGCTATCAATCTTTAGATTTTTGATTTAGCATTTTATCCAGTATGTATCCACCAAGTGCTTATTTATATTTAGAACCTGGTTTCACTTTGCTTTCAAAAAACTAGATTAAAAAACATAAAGAATTCTGCTGGAGACAAAGTTTTCAAGCAAGTCACAGAGCTGTTAGCATTAGCTTGTGATATGTTAGCTTAGCAACAGCTGATACAATTCTGCTGGCCACAATCCTCATGTTAGCAGATCCATCTAGTCATCGACTAGAAATAAGATAACTGGTTTTGTTTGTCTTGTGTATGTTTTTAGAAAATTATTTAATATATCTTGATTGTTAAAATCACTGTTACATATTGATATATATATATAAATATAAATATCAATAGTCTTTAAATATATGACATTTTCTGTACTCTTCTCTGCCTGGTTAATGTTTTATTTCATAAAAGTATAATTGATCATTTTTGTGATAGCAGCTAGGACTGTCTCTGTTCAAGGTGAGGTGGTCCACTTCTACTAAAACACAATGGGGGAACTTTTATTAGAGGCGTTTGTTATAATGTGTTGTAAATCTATAGAAGACCAGAGTGTCATGAGCAACATTTTGTTGATGACCTTTTAATGTGAAGATTTGCTTCCTCACCTTGATCAGTGTAGATGTTGCCCCATCCAGACACTGTGCACATGTCCCCAGGTGTGGGGCAGGCTTTGGGCAGGGCGACAGGCTTGACGTAATGGTTCACGGTGACGGGGTGCGCCAGCTTCATCAGCATGATGTCGTAGTCCATGGTCTGGTAGTCGTAACTCTCATGCCAGTAGATGGCATCCACTGACATGAACTGCTCCGTGCCCTCGTTCATCCAGATGTGGTTGTCACCCAAGACGGCAATCTGGGAAAAGGGGCTGAAGTGGAGACAAACTTCAACATTTTCATAATCCTCATAAATTAATTCATACAAAAACATTCAATCGTATACACACTTTTGCCAGCAGTGGGCAGCAGAGGCAATCCACTGGTCATTGATGAGGGAGCCGCCGCAGAAGTGGTAGCCAATGTTGAGAGACACCTGCCAGGGTTGAGAATGGGCTTCACACTGGTAGCCACCCACAATCCTATCATCCGTAGGTGCTGCAGCTGTGGTGTAAAAGAAAAACAAAATTTGTCATATTTACAATAGTTACAGTTCTTCTTTACCCTAAAATTGTTGGGCATGCTGCAGATATTCTTTACCTGCAGCGCCCAGGAGCATGACAACAATCAGGCCAATCATCTTGTGGCTGACTCGAGTCTATACGACCAGACTGGATGTGAATGATCTGTCATCCACTGCATTTATACCTGAACTACTCTGTCTTTCCATGCTCTCCCTCCTCCTCCACACCTCCATATCTCCACCCAATACACACCCACCCCCGAATTTCCTACCTCCCTTATCACTGCCCTGAAAAGTAACCTTATCTTTTCATGTGCCACGTTCATCCTTTCAGTTAATAAGTGAGCCACATCTTACATATGTTTGGCCTTGGAGAGTGTTTTCTGTACTCTGTTTTAGACGGATCATTTTCTGCACCTTTCACCTAAATAAATAAATGTGCCTATTCTTTGTATGGGACACACATTTTTAGCAGACACCACACAAAAGTATTGTTTCCAGCCATAACATGTTATTACATATAGGTTGAATACAATAGAAGACAATAACTTATTCTGTACTCATTAGAGCTTAAAGTCTGACACAGAAACAGAAAAAGACAACATTTTAGTTTTCTGCTTCAGACGACAGATGATCTCTTTCTCACCTCTCTTGGCTTTTGTTCAAGTGGAACCCAAAGCGGAGCCAGAAAACAGGACTTTTTTTTTCTTCAACCAAATTATTATTCATAATATATTTGCCATGGAGTCTCTTGGTTAAAAACAACAGTTATTGCTGTAATTTTCTCCTTTTTACCTTAAATTGGCCGAAGCTAAAAGAAGGTTATATAACTGTTTTCAATGTTTGCTGTTGCAGCTTGTCAACAATAAGTGACCCATGAGAGAATCTTAAACAGGTGTTAAATGTGTGAAGACCTTGGTCCATATTTGTAAATGAGGTGCACAGATGACATACAGTAAACACAGGGGGTGTGCTACGATAAGGCAAAAGTGCCCACACACAAAAATGGGGCAGGGAGGCAGGACACGAATGGGGTCAACAGAGAGAGAGGGAGGAGATGAGGACGGGGGTAAGGGGGCAGGGAGGCAGGGGGGGGGGGCGAGCAGAGCGAGGCTGGTGGGATATAAATATGAGCCAAGGTGTGTCCAGGTATCTTCTGATCTTTCACCTGACACCATGAGACTGCTGGCTCTGCTGCTGATGATCGGAGCTGCTGGTAAAGACACACACACACACACACACACACAAAGCCGTACTGTAATGTCAGCAATTTCATAAATGTGATGGAAAGTTGTAGTTAAAGATAACTTTAACACAGATGTGTCTCTTTCTCTGTGTGTGCGTGTGGCAGCGGCAGTTCCCCGAGAAGATGGCAGAATCATTGGCGGGCATGAGTGTGATCCTCACTCTCGTCCGTTCATGGCCTCCCTCAACTATGGTTACCACTTCTGTGGTGGGGTGCTTATCAACAAGCAGTGGGTGCTCTCCGTTGCTCACTGTTGGTACAAGTAAGTATGCATCAATGGAGAAAAGATTACTTTCAAATCTTATTAGCATTATCCTCTCGTTGCCAGGTTGTTTTTGCCATGTGTCTTGTATGATTTTTATGCATTTTTTCCCTTTGAGATGTAGAGAAATATATATGAAACATAATACTGAAAGCTTGTTCTGCTCCCACATTCTAATTGGAATATTTCACTTCCTCTCTCAGTCCCTATGCCATGCAGATCATGCTGGGAGAACATGATATGCGAGTGTTTGAGGGTACAGAGCAGCTCATGAAGACTGAAAACATCATCTGGCACCCTAGGTGAGTAAAAATTGAAGAAACCATTGCATGATTTAGTTTTTGTCTGATTCATTTATTCAGTGCAGAGAAACAGCTACAGTCTAAAGCTTATTTCATTTTTCTGTGTGTGCAGTTATGACTACCAGACTCTGGATTTTGACATAATGTTGATCAAGCTCTTCCAACCAGTGGAGGTGACCGCAGCAGTTGCACCCATCCCATTGCCCACAGGGTGCCCAATGGGGGGGCTCCCCTGCTCTGTGTCTGGCTGGGGCAACACTGCCATCGATGGCGAGGGTGAGTTGATTATAATGCAGTTTGACATGTAGCTCACTCCACTTAAACCTTTCAGCTGCCTAAAATACTCACTAGGGCACCAGATGTTTATTAATCCGCAGATGAGAATAGTCCCCAACAAACCTAATCTTGTTTGAGTGACTTTTGCACAAAAAACAGTGTCCAGCTGTTTTCGTTTTACAAAATGTATGTATATATTTGTTGTATGTTTTTATAGGTTACATATAGATTCACTGATTTTAGATTTAGTAGGAACAAATGGGCTTGGGACTGGGAGTCACAGACAAGCTGGTGAAACGGACGATAACATTATTTAGATTTTCATGACTATTTCTGTTCTGTCTGTTACAGTGAACATGCCCACCCTTCTGCAGTGTTTGGATGTGCCCATAGTGGATAACCGGGACTGTAAGAACGCCTATCCTGACATGATCTCTCCCAGGATGGTGTGTGCCGGATACATGGATGGAGGCAGAGACGCATGCAATGTGAGTTTTACAATAACTTCCAAACACTAACTGGTATTAATTAATTAAGAATTAATCGCATGCTCACGCTTACTTTGTCAGGGTGACTCCGGCAGCCCTTTGGTGTGTGACGGAGAGGTCCACGGCCTGGTGTCATGGGGTCAGGGATGTGCCCTGCCTAACTACCCCGGTGTCTACGTCAAATTGTGTCAGTTCCTTGGCTGGATTGACGACACCTTGGAAGCCAATCCCTGAAGAAATGACCAATTTTCACTTTACTTTTCTTTACTGTTTCGACTGGTTCCCCTCAGTCCCATTTTCTTTAACAGCCCTGACTTTACTTTTCTGTCTTTCTCTGATGCCTTGTCTCCTATGAAGTTTTCTTGCTCATATATCCAAAATCAACACATGTGCTATAACATAGAAAACTAAATAAAACCACTTGGTATATATTCAATTTTCATTTGTCTGTTCACATCCATAATGAGAGAAAACAAAAACACCAAATGAAACTATCGGAGCATAAGTATATGTCAGTTACAGTTTTATTTGTTTGATTTTAATACCATGAAAGACTGTTTGGTGTACTTACATAGAAACATTTAATTATTCACATAACTTATTCATAAGAACAAACTTAAGGAATGGGTTAAATGACGAGGTAGCATTTTTCTAATGTTTCATATATTCACTATATGTGATTGCCCCCCTTCGTTTGTTTATAATATATTACATTTTCAAATATCAAGCCTTTCATTAATTTATATTATTTCATGGAGGCTCAGAAAACAATTTAATTTGAAAGAATCAGTGAAAAATTGTAACAACACTGCTGTACAAGCGCCCGAAAGAATAAATAAGCCATTAAGATAAAAATGCACGGCATGAATTAAACCAAGGTTACACAATAATACATTTATGAGTAAAATAGGTGAAAGTACAGAGAAGAAAAGCCCTCGTTAAGCCTCCTTAATGTATGGATATGAGATTAAAAACTGTATTTTTTTTCAAATAACACAATAAAACTGGTCTATAAAAGGTAGTATGCCTTGCTGTCCTTAGTCCTAAAAAGACCAGCCCGTCTTGTTTTTTTTTTTTGTTTTTTTAAAATATATTTTAAACAAAGGCATTAAAATTGGAGGATTCAACCATCTCTCTCTTGTGAAAAATGTATGCACTTATGCCTATAATATGCATAAATCCTTAGCTCCAGGTGTGTGTTTTTTGTTTTAAGTCACTCTCACTCTCTGAGTGAGGTAATGACAGTGTGATTATTGAACAGTAGGAGGCCTCTGTTAGCAGGTTTCCTGTCAGTCCCGCGCACTCATCACAACTTCAGCAGTGTGGTTGACACACGGTCATTTACAGTTAGACATGACACCAGAAACTATTCTTACATTCAATGAGGACTGATTTCTGGATTGGAGATGTTAGTCCCCAAGTATTTCTCATTTTAATAAAAGAGTCTGTATTTTGTGGAGGTTGCTTTTCTATAAGGACGACATTCTTCTCATCATCTCTCCCAGGTCACATTTGTTTTCTCTGAGCCCTGCTCTCCACACCTCCCCCTCTTTATGTCTTCGTCTCTGTTTGACTGGACTGGAAGGTACGAGCAATGCTGCTCCATCTACACATGAACACAAAAAGAGATCATACTCAAATTCATGTTTCATTTCATGTATCCACTTTCCAGATGAATGAAACAATTCTAGCTGAGACTTGTATTAGATTATGAGTTACCAATGAAGGTTTGAGTAGTACATTTTTACTGGAATTGAGAAGACTGAATGCTTACATAAATGGTCTCAAAGCTATTGCATGGTGGGCATGACATGAGGGTAAAACACTGGGAGTGAAACTAAAGTAGAATCTACTTATCTCCACAGCAAACATTTGGACCTGCCAAAAGCGTCACTAATCGCAGTATTAATTGCTGCATTGCATTGCAATAATTGCTGGAACGGAGGCAGCATTCATTGTCAAAATGTCTGATGTGAAAGGGTCTATGAATAGATTTCATTTAGGAACAATAAAATAACTAGATGGAGGAGTCGGGTTAGCAAGATTCATTCAGAAACAGACTTCTGTGAAACAGTCCACTATAATATATATATACTAAATATCCCTTGTTTACAATGTTCTTTTTATTACTATGCTTTTATTGTATAGACAAACAAATTAAAGGACAAATATGCATAAAGACACGTGCAATTTAAGGTGAAACCTACAAACACATAACTACAAAACAAACTGCACAATCAGTTTAAACAGAGTCTTAACTTTTCATTTTTGTCTGTTTTTTGTTTCTTCTACGTGCTTCATTGCCACTATGAGCCTGCTGACGAGAGAAAACATGTAACAAAGATGCAGCCACCAGCCACTAGGAGGATGAAGGTAAATACAATACTTACTTACTGAAAAAGAAATCACTTTGTTACAGTAACAGTTGACTAAATGTAATTAGTTTCTTTCATCCCTGGCTACTACACATATTCACACTGTAGTTGGTGAGCATACTGTGCATGCATTAACATTCCTCAGAGTTTCTCTGTGGGGAATGGAGAAACTTAACACATCATCATTGAACTGCCAAGAGGTAATACAGCATCAATAGGCATATAGCTTGAGTGTCTGTGGGAACTTACTGAACGGGAGGGGGAGTGTTGGTCCAGTCTTGGTTTCTGATGTTTGGGATTGACTGGAGGGAGATGGACAGTGTGGGGTTGTGCTTTTTTTAGGGAGCAGAGGTGGAGCGCTGCGGTGGGACCTGGGAACCTGGTAATCCAAACTTGAGAACTGTTGAGAGAAAATGTAGGCAGTCAGTGAGGAATTTAAAAAAATAAGGACTCTGGAGGAGTGCATGTTGCAAACTGATACAAAACCTTCTAAATAACTGAACTTCAAGCATGTACTAAATTGAATGAGTTGCAGACGGACACAAACATCAATACAAAGAGTCTGCAGCCATGCTAGTGGTACCAAAGCAATGCGTTGAGCTAAATGCTAATCTCAATATGCTCACATTGACAACTATAACATGCTGATGTTTAGCAGGTAATGTTTACCACGTTCACAATGTTAGTTTAGCACATTAACATCTGCCAATTAGCACTAAAAACAAAGTACAGATGAGGCTGATGCAAATGTCAATAGTTTTGCAGGTATTTGGTCCCAAACCAAAGTATTGGATACATTACATTGCATAACATTGCCCTGATAATGGAACTAGATGAAACGTTAAGGAATCAAAATGGTTATGACAATGAGGGGCACATGAATGATACAAATGTCAACCTCATTGTGGCACAAGGGAAAAGGTCAGGGATCAACAAATTCCTCCTCTGAGAATCACCAATGTCTCCACCAAATGTCATGTCAATCCACACAGTAAGTGTTGAGCATTTTCGTTCTGGACCGAAGTGGTGTACTAACTGACAGACCGGCTGGAATTAAACAAAAAAAATGATCATATACAGAAATGTATTCACACACCTTCCTCAGGGCAGCCATTTCTTTTACCATCAGTTCGATGTCCTCATGGTCCTCCTCCTCTTGTTCCTCCTCCTCCTCCTCCCACTGACCGCTACCTGGCTGGTAGGGCTCGACGAGGATGGACTCTGTTCCTCTGATGTCGCAGCGACAGTATGGGCAGGTGTGGCCAGCTGACTTCTGCGAGATAGTTTTCAACGACAGGTCATCGACAGGGTAATGGAAACACTAAATGAATGTAGAAACCCATCGTCACCCGTTGTCTTGAGAGCAGCTTTGTGTCCTTTGAAGTGTAGTGGAATATGTTGGACTTCTCTTCAAAGAATAAAAGCACCAGTTTTCCGAAAAAGATGAAGGAGGTGGAAACCACCAGGTTCAACAGACTGTAGATTGCGGTTTCCCCCGAATGTAAACCAGATAAAGATGAATTGTCGTAACATTTTACTTTCATTGCTTAAGCATACAGGCTTAGTGTCTCTCCAGGTTTTATGGCGTTCATACATTTTTTATTTTTTTTATTCCTGTAACCACCTCTTTACATTATATACATTCTGTCCATATAGTTGACATGGTTTTTCAGATTGCTCCTTTTATCTATTTGCAGTTTGTCTGACTGATATACGTTAAACTATAAACTATTATTTGGTCTATTTAAAAATCTTTTACTTTCCCACACTGCTTTGTTAATCTTGTAAAATCTTTTGGTAGCTTTTGGGATTCAGCTGCAAATGTGTGCACATGGCTTTGAAATTGTGATTTAGTTCAGAGTTTAAGTGCTTGTGAAGGTCTTTGAGTTGTATTGTAAACTTGCTGTTGATGAGGAAGTGTGGTTGACCACAATCTAGACTAACTTACAACTTTTCCATTGTCTGATGTCCACAAAGCATGTTTTATTTTCTTTTCCTGTCACTCTTTCTCTCTCTCTCACGCACACACGCACACACACACTTGTGAACAAAGTGAATGTGACCGATGCAGTTTGAGGAGGATGTGAGGCTGTGCTCACACAGGAAGTCATCAGCCAAATGTCAGGACATGCTGCTCTGCACCTTTTCAAAGGCGTAAACACCTCCAGAACAGATTGGAGGCTATTGGTTGGCTGACATGAAGCTGTAGCAGCAGTTTTAATTCCGACTGGATGTCTTCTATGTCATTCTAAAAAAGAGGAAGTAGGAAGTCGGGAGAAAAGTGCACACAGGACATGCTGTCCACGTGAAGATAACATTTTCAGACATACTTTTGGGATTTGGTTGCCATCTAAACTGGTCAAATGTGATTGAAGGTAATTGAAGGTCAACCGTATAACACTCATTTACATTTACATAGATGTTATCAGTCCCCGTCTACACTTTTACAGTTGTCTGTTTGCATACTGCATGGCATCTGTCATTGATAGTAATGGTTCACTTCACAGCCCTTTTCTTTTTTTAACCACTGAACCGAGCTTTGTGCTTGTCTTTCCGGTAAGTTATCAAACTATTTGCTCATGCAAATAATTGGTTTAAGATGGTTTAAATGTGGAGTCCACAGCTTTTTGTGGCCTGAATGACCCAATTCACAAGCACAGGTGTGAATATTTCCTGAAATATTCACTGAAGTTTATGTGGAATTGTTACACTTCCTCTTATTTCCTGAAAAAGGAAGTGTAACAATTCCACATAAACTTAATAGAAAGATGTGGATGACATTATAGAACCTTATAGAATTAGCTGTGGTTCATAGTGTTTTTAAAGCAAGACTATGTTCATTTTGATTTTTTTTAAATCGAGGAACGTTTTGCACAGATAAAACCATTTCTCTCCAATTCTTCATTTCAGTGAAACATTTTATGTGGAGATACTGAGAAATTTGAGATTATTGTTTTGAAATGAATATATCAGTCATGTCATTGATTTGTGAGGGTTATCTTATATATTATAAAGAACGTGAACATCACTTTGTTAAACACTTGCATATTTTTGACATAAACTCCAAACCATATTCAAATACAGAAATAAATCTAGTTTAGTCAACCTGACTGTTTCCCTCCACTAAACACACAAAACGGTTAAAGTAAAAGTCTATATAACATGTCAGTAATAAGAAGAAAGCAGCTGAAGACTAGCATGCGTTTTGAAATACTGTACAGTTAGGCTACAATGAGTAGGTGGATGTGGATTCATACCTGCCAGCCTGTAAGGCAGGGTTGGCACAGGAGATGCCCACAGGGCTGGATACGAGTGTCCTTATCCCTCTCTGCACAGATCTTACACAGCTGGAAGGTGCTGCCTATGTCACAGTAAAGCTCATACTGCTCCTGTTGGGTGTTACAGTGGCGGTGTGGATGGATGGACAAGAGAGACAAGACGGAAAACGATGAGAGAACAATCCAGGATATGATTTATGTTATGTCTTGGTAAAGCCTCAGGATCCTGTTGGCAGTTTGATTAATTGATGAAGGGGCATGAAGAGCATCATCTTACTTCTGTAACTTTGACTTTGCCCCTCTGGGCCGGTTCATACAAGCTTGTCACGTCGGGGTTCACATCACGGCCATCTGGGTACAAGTAGCTGCAGGCACAGAAGCACACAGCACTTAGAGAAAAAACACAAACAAAGAAAAAAAAATGAAGCAGAGAGATGTGTGTTTGTCCTGACCAGCCTTCCTTGAAGCCCTGAATGAGTGCCTGATAGAGAGGTGCATTCTGGGGGATGGTCTGGACGATGCTACCTCCACTGGTCACATGGCCAATAGCCCACTGGCCCATTCTTGTGCAGCTCAGGCGAAAGATATAGCTAAGAGAGAGAAATAGATCCTTGTAAATCACACTTGTTTACATGTAGACATTAAAGTTAACAGATGTGTCACTTGATTATTATTTTGTTTTTGGGTGTCCGTTAGTCTTTTGCAATAAGACTGGCTTTGGTCTGCACTTACTTTATTTTCTGTATTTCAGAAATTAATTACAATACAATTCCTCTCATTCTTAAAACAGCTATACTAGTGGTGATTATTATCATGAGCTGCTGAGTTTGATGAGCAATGAAATATATGCCAAAAACTCAAGAGAAAAATAAATGCATGGTACTTAGTAGTAAAAAGCCTCTTCCCAATTTTTTAACTTTTCATAATGAATAGCCAGGTAGTTAAAGATGGAGTGCTGTGTTTCTATGTTGCTTCATGGACCTGATTTCTTACAAATTAGATCAACTGTCAGATTTGAACTCGAGTACTCAACATCCTCCATAGTGCTATTTGAGTTTTGAGCTATGTGTGACATACAGTATATCATCTTCTCCAGGAAGTGCATCAGTCAGAGTTTGTTGCTGTGCTCGTCCTCACCTGCCGGGTTTGTGCAGGTAGTGTTCCAGACGACCTATAACCTGGTCATAGGTGAGGAAGGCCATGTAGCCGGGATGAATCACCGCTAGCTGGTTCCAGTTCCTTATGAGTGACCCCCAGGGCTAAAATGAGAGGAGACTCAGGATGTTCATGACGTTTCATCATTAAAGGAATAGCTCACTGTTGTGGGAAAAAAAGGCTTATGTACTGTCTTGCCAAGAGTTGTTGTAGATGAGAAGATACCTCTCTCATGTCTGTACATTAGATGTAGAGCTACAGTTAGCTTAGCTTAGCATGAAAACTGGAAACAGGGGGAACCAGCTAGCCTGGCTCTGTAACAAAATCTGCCTACTAGCACCTCCAAAATTGACTAATTGACACATCACAGCTTGTTTGTTTAGAATTGTACAACAAATGATGGCCGGACTATTTCTTGGTGCAGATATGAGAGATGTAACCATCTTCTTAACTCTTGGCAAGAAAGCCACTGAGCGTATTTACCAAAATGTTAAACTATTTCTTTAAGAAATCAGTTTAATATTTTTGATTGGAATATTTCAACCTACCTGAAACAGTCTAGTGAAGATGTCAAACTCAAACACAGTGATGTGGTCATTACAGGTGAGATCTATTGTTGACTTTAGGGCCATGGACTCCATCCCTTCCTCAAATGTGTGTACACTCCGCAGCTGCTCTTTGAACCTATGCCACTGCACTACACACCTGTCAGAGCATAATATTAGCAGATAGCAAATGTAGACACACAACTCGGCAGCAAAAATTAAATTACCCACACTCACTTGTTTCCAAATGAACGCATCCAAAACTCTGCAGCCTCTGTTTTAGTCACCCTGTAGGCGTCACCCTGAAAACCGCCCCTTGGAAACATGGCCCTCAGCTCCCAGAGCATGTGACTGAACAGCAAGGACAGTTTGGTCAAGTTCCTCCTGAGAATGTAAAACACAGCAGACTTTCAGTTGCTGATACAGAAATATAAATGATATAATTTGTTTGGACATGTCAACATTTTTTCTGGCCCTGTGGTGTTGAAATACATTTGATCTCTTATACAAATACATAAGACCATCTTGTGGGCCAATAACTCATTTGTTTCAAACTGATAAACGTCATCTCACACACCTCCTTATAGTATTCTCTTACAGTTCAAGTGTCAAAGGCCTGGTACATTTGTATCTGCAGAAAAATCCTTAGTCTTTTTTATTTCAACTCATGTTTATCTCTTGCATTCTACTTGTATGCAAGAGATAAACTATCTTAGAGTTAAGACTCCAACTTGCACTGTAGGTGCAGGTGAAGTCATGTTTGTCTAACCAAGTAAGTATGTTCAGCAATGACAACTGTGGTAAAAACTATACGCATTGGCTATGAATGGATTGTGTAGAGATTAAAATAAATAAGTTAAGATACAATTCTACAACCACCTTTTCTTTAGAGAAACAAAGCTCTAACTGTTGTTCATTTGATACTCTACTCATTCTTTCCAGTTGAAACAAGCATTGCTGATACTTTCCATAGATACACACACAGACAAACGCAAACACACACAACAGGTAGTCCAGCGAGCAAACAGGATGCTCTCTGCTGCATGCTTGTCTGTAAATACCACAAAATGTTCCAGTGGCCAGTGTGCCACTTCAGACCAGTCTTTATCAGTATTTACTGAACTCTCTTTCCAGGCTCTACTAGGCTTATTACATATATGATTTTAACATTCTATCAATTGTTCTTATGCATTTTTCAACATTTCCAAATTTTAGCTTTGAAATTTCAAGACGCAGAACCTAAAGCTAGCTCTGAGTGACCCTCACTTTTAACATTAATGCTCATATGTCCTAGATTCAAATCATTTCTGCATCCTAAAATCCATTGAGATTTAATATCCGTGTTTGTTTGGTAAAAAGTTGTTTTGCATTACATGACAACATGTTTTAACTTGAATTAACGTTAAAAAACAACACCCTAAACACAATGAGTACACTAAGATAATAAAAATGCTAATCAAATATTCATGAGTCAAAATGAAACATAAAGTTAAGCCCGCTAGAGCATAGCCAGTTACATCTTTTAGGTGAAATGTGTAAATTTGTAAAAACATAAGCTTAATTTTCATCTTTAATAGTAACATAATATGATCTATTAATCGACTTATATGTGTGTTTCTTATGTTGTTTCTGCTCACAATTCTAGTTGCATGTTTAACCGGAGTTTGCACATTTGCATGTGTTACATCAATTCCAGTCAGAAGAGGTTGAAGCCAGTGTGTCACTTCATGAAACCTTCCACTGTCACTGCTTCTGTCGCCAGCATCAGATGTATCTCACTTCTGTTTTTAACTTCACATGATAGAAAATTCACTTACTAATGGGAGACTAATATTTTTCACCATCCAGCTGTCAATGTTTTTAGAAATAGACTAAGTGCCTGCAGCTTAGTGGCCTGAGTCGGTGGGAAAACAAGCAGTAGAAAAGAGCACATTGTAGCAAGATGTTATAAAAAATACAAAAGACGATATTTACAAAATTTGCCGTGCATTTAACCACATTACACATTAAAAACTATGTTTGCCACATGACTGCTCATGCAGACCTGGCTGCGGTGGGAAGGCCATCTGCTATTATGTGAAAGATGACGTAACAAATATCTAAACATATCTGATTTGCAGATCTTGTCTGTAACAATTTTCACACAGTGTGTGTAGTAGAGTAAAATTGTCTCAATTGGATGGACGGACAGATGTAAAAATATAAGAAAGAGATATAGTCCTGAATTTAGGCCGCAAGCAGGTTAGAAGATACAGTAAAAGATGTCTGTTTAAAGCCAGACAGTCTCTCTCCCAAGCTGCTCACATACTGAGGTTGCTTTTGCCAAGTTTCCTCCCAATTAGCATCACAAAGATGCAGGTTTGGCCCTTTTTCCATCTTTGTCATTAGTAGTCCCAACAAGAGACGCAGACGCAGCCCAAACTCCAAATAAAAAAGTCACTCTTTTTAAGCTGCTCCAAAATATCCACTTTAGCCAAACAGCAAATTTAATGAATATTGTCATTTTTTCTTTTTCTCTGGCACACAGTGAAGTATTTGACTTGTGGGAACCGGGGAAGTTATTTAATTAAGCGCTTCTATATATAGTGTAACATAGTTATTTGAGTTAATTTAATTATTTAATTTAGTGTTAGACGCGGCTTCTATCGTAACTGTCAGCTATTAGGTTATGACTCTTTACGTTGTGCAAATAAAGAGGACTATTTTTGGATTCTCTTACTTTTGTTTAAAGAGCATTAGCTGCGTAAAGAGCCCAAGAGATCGCAGAAAGTTTTTGGTTTTAATTGTTCCGGTTGCGAGGTCTCCGACATTTCGTTTGTTTGAATGGGATTTTATTTGTGGCGCTCAAAGATTCCAAGCTCTTCACAGAAAATATTTCCCCGTTATTCTGGGTAATCCACAGAGTTATTATTATCGGAAACACTGTTTCTGGAAATAAATGTTGCTGTTTAAGAATGTAGTTTTACTTCAGTAGAAATCAGAGACCGATATCTCAAAACCTGAGCAAATAAAACAAAAATGGCTCGATAGTGTCAGGAGAGTCAGACAATGCAGAAAGATGTCTTCCGATGTTTTTTCCGAACAGTCCAAAACTAGAATTACCGCCTTGCAGTTGTATGCTTCCGCCAAACAATCAAGTTGCAGTTTGAATTCATGTCTGTCCAAAATGTCATAATTTGTTCCTATTAGACATTTGTCTGAAATTGAGTTTTGGCCAAAAATGTGTTTTGTGAAGTCACCGTGACCTTGATCTTTGACTATCAAATTCTAATCGGTTCATCCCTAAGTCTAAGTGGACTTTTGAGCCAAACTGTAAATAATTCTCTCGAGGGGGCTACTGAAATATTGCGTTCATGTGAATTGGAGAGACGTGAGGTCACAATGACCAGTCCAGGTCCTGAGATATCGCATTCCTGAGTTAACGCCGTCGCCGGTGTTCAGATCTATGACTGAGACAATGAATTGATAATCAAAATTGTTGCTGATTAATGTTCTCTCAAGCAACTAATAAGTTAATTGTTTCGTGATTGATGTTTTGTACTCCAAAATGGGAAACAACATGGGACAGAACATGACTCTTATAAAATGAATGATTACTTTATCATGAGCAATGCTCAAAAGGCCAGAGGATAAAGGACGCAATCATTACAGAATGAATCAGGCATTTGATTAGATAATTATATATATAATATTTATTTATTTATATATGTATTTATATAAGTATTTATTTTCTTTTGTAAAGATGTCAGCCAGGGTCCGTCTTACCTGTAGCTGGACGTCTCCTCAAACATTTTCTCCCGTCCCTCTTTAAACAGCAGCAAAGCTCTCTCCGTCTTATCCAGCAGGTTTCTGACATGGACCCTCAGGTACTTGACCTCATCTCCCCGGAGCACCTGGCCGCCTGCCACGCTGAGGCCTCGGTAGGGCTCCCAAACCTTTGTGAGCAGTGTTGTTGTCTCCGATAACAACTCTGGCAGGTATGGTGGACTGTTCCTCAGGCCCAGCCGGGGATTAGTGCACAGCTGGCGGAGCTTGTCCAGTCTTTTGAGGGCCTTGTCCACCAGCCGCAGGTCTCCACTGGTGGGGGGCTGGGAACTCAATTTTGGGGTCAGGGAGCCTGCTGAACTTGCTGCCGCCATCATTCTGCTCTTGTGAAGTGATGTGAATCAAAAATAACTTCAAAAGTCAGTCTGGCCCTGTGTAAGGGGACGTGACAATAAGTAATAATGGTCCTACTGTTTTGAGAGATGTGAAAGCTCTCTTTTGAATATGTGAAGGTTTATAAGCAAAAATAGGAGCAGCTATTCATACTGGCTTAGGTTTTAAGATGGTATTTATTATCTTTACAGTGATTTTTGTGAGTTCCCAGCTTCATCTGAAAAACACATCTTAGCCTCCTCATACAGCATCCATGCTTGATCCATATGATAATAATCCAACAGTATTACATCATCAAACAATGGATGGCACGTTTGATTACTGCATCTCTAAAAATGCATTAGAAGCTTAGCCTTTTGGCGCCAGAGATCCACTCTGGTCCGTTTGTAGCCTCTCACTCCTCAGTCAGGTCTTCAAAAAAATACAAAAATATGTTTACAATATAAAAGAGGCTGTTTTTAAAAAGACTTTCACAACATCAACAATATAACACAAGAGGCCAAGAATGAGAAAGAGTGAACTGAAAACAAAGGAAGGGAGGGCCTGACACTGATACTCAACTCTGAAACTGTTTTAACTTCTACCATCCCAACTCACTCCACCCCTACATATTCAGCCTATCTAGCACACTTACCGATATTCATCATGCGCACAGCTCGGCAGCACAGCAGTCCCACACAGTCAGGGTCAACAGAAAAGAGACCACTATTTACATCACAGTGGAAACATGTCCTCTGTCATTGGCTAAAATGTTTCTGCTTCTTCTTTGTTTCTCTTTCTTGATGTCACCCTCGCGTTCTCTCTCTCTCTCGCTCTCTCTCTCTCTGCACCCTTTGATTGGTTTCCTGGTTGCAGCCAGCCAAACAGGTCTGTTTTCTTTGCTGGAGTGCAAGAGAGAGAGAGCGAGAGAGAGAGAGAGAGAGAGAGAGAGAGAGAGAGAGAGAGTGACATCAAGAAAGAGACACAAAGAAGAAGCAGTATGAAAGACAGAGAGGTGAGAACTCATACCTTAACATTAGAATCAAAGCGGTGACTAAAGTAGCACGTGGTATCCAGACAGCAGTCAGACTACTTACTAACTGACAGTATGCCTGCGTTCAAAGGAAAGGTCACCTCCAACAGTTGGCATGTTAAAAAGAACCACCATCTTAACCTATCAGCAGATTAAATGGATTTAGTTTGCATTTCACCAGAATTTTTGCTGCAAAGTCAGTCTGTCAGTACATCCACAATTTTGGTTCATACTTAAATATTTTAATAACTGTTGGATGGATTGCAATGAAATTGTGTCCAGACATCTATGGTCCCGAGAGAATGAATTCTGGTGACGTTGGTGACGTTGGTGACGCCACCACGTGGTTGACATTTGTGGTTTGAATGAATTGTATTTATTTTATTATTATTATATTCAAAATAAATGTACTTGTATATTATACCTATATGAGCCTTGATATATAACAATAAATATTTATCTTTTACATGCAAATTAGTTATCGCATTAGCATGGAAAATGATGGGTAAACCATGGTGTACGGTGGTTTTAAAAAAGTGTCTCTATATTCACCTATGGACTACACTTCAAATATAAATCAATCTGAATTTACAGTGTAGGGCTCATCATTAATAAATGTGGTCATCTAAACGAGGCCAGATGACTGAATCTGTACTCGTTTAAATATGCAATTGTTGTTTGTTTTTTAATATGTTACTTAAACATAGTTTTCTTTTTAGTTATTCTTTTCAGGCTTTGTGGGAAATTTTTTTAATTTATTTTTTTTTAAAGGGTAAAATAAAGTTGTCTGCTCCGCGTTCATTGACCAGAAGATGGCAGTGGTGCACTTCCAGCCGGCATGACAGCCTCCACTGAAAACCAAGTAGTAGATCCAGAATGACCAGCCAGATATGTTTTCCCTGAATATAGAACTACAGGCAGCTTTTCCTACATTGTATTTATGGCAAACCTTTTTGTATATATTGATGCCTTCAGCGCTGTATCCAGTTATCTTTAGTCAAAGTCAGCTTTATTGTCAATTTCTCAATATGTACCGAACATACAGAGGAGTTGAAAAAACGTTTCTCTCCAGTCCAACATATAAAGTGAATACAGATAATATGTGCAAATAGATAAAAAAAAAAAACATTTGAACAACATATATATTAAGAAAAACTATCATTCTGTATTTAGCAGCAGTCAGACATAGGGAGTCTTAAAAGAGAGGAGGGAGAGAGTTCAGCTTCCTAACAGCCTGGTGGACGAAGCTGTTTGAAAGTCTGGTGGTGCGAGCACGGAGGCTCCGGTATCTTCTCCCAGAGGGCAGAAGGCTGAAGAGACTGTGTGAGGGGCGGCTGGAGTCGCGCACAATCATGGTGACTTTGCGGGTGAGGCGGGTGTCATATATGTCCTGCAGGGAGGGGAGTGAGGCACCAATGATCCTTCCAGCTGTGTGCACTATGCGCTGCAGGGCTTTCCTGTTGTAGTCAGTGCAGCTTCCGCCCCACACAGTGATACAGTTTGTCAGGATGCTCTCAATGGTGCCTCGGTAAAAGGTGCACATGATGGGTGGGGGTGTTCTTGCCTTCTTTAGGTTGCGGAGAAAGCTTTACACATCCATGGTGCGACTTCCTTTTCTGCTCAGGACGCCATTACTCCCCTGTATCTGTATATGAAATAGTTCTTTGCGGCTATAGGCCTATTAGTTTTCTGAACAATGTATTGAGAACTTTTAATCTAACCTAAATAGTCTTATCATATATCTTTTGATTATATTTTCATTCAACAATTTTACAAATTCAATACATTTGGAATATATTTTAGTTATTGTTTTATTCCTCTAGGGGGGATTTAGATCAACTCTGCTTCAGCTCAAATAAATACCTTATTAATATCCTTTTCAGCAGTAGTTGGACTATCAAGTAAAACTACATATGTATTAACACCAGAATGTACACATTCTTCATGTAGTAAATAAAAGTACAAAAATTGTCCATTTCAAAGTGTGTTAATATGGAGAGTGCATTGTAAGCAATAGTTGTTGTTTTTTTGTTATTGAACATTTTCATTGAAGGAATATTCATATTTTGTGTATAATTTTTGATTTTGTTTCAATGTCGTAGGTTGGAAAAGCTACATGTTTAGTTTTTGTCTAAACACTCATCCGCCCCCGGCAGTAGCGGCTTCACCTCCTGCCAGGAGCAGAGCCTCCCCTCGGTATCCCGCCAGACCCTACTGGGAACCAACACCGTCACCATGCTGCTGGGGACCCAGACCGTGTTGCTGGACCCGCTGAGGGAAAGTAGGCATGGGAGAACCAGAACCAGGAGCAGGGCAGGCTGACAGACCCCTCTGTGGTAAAATAAGAGGTTTTCTAAAGGGAATCTGATGCTCGGCAACACTACCGCTTTTTTCCACAGTGATCGCAGAAATCAACACAAAATTTAAGTTTGTGGTAACTGTAACAATTCCTTTAGCGCTAATATCAGGCCAACATTTGAATTAGCAATAAATAATTAGAATGAGAGAACTGACAACCTTTGCTTCAACATCCATAAGAGGGAGACACTAACTCAGTCACAATTTAGCCAATGACGTGTTGTCACTGAAATCTGATTATTTTACCCATTTAAATGTCAGTGTCCAGCTTATATCCCCTTAACTAAAGAGCACATTATGTGCTTTAAATAATACTTTACAATCGTATGACTCAACTCAACATAAATAGGCTTCCTGCTGGATTTTCTCCAGTTGTTCATGTTGCAGTAGCCCCGCCAACGGCTGCAAAAGACAAATGTCAACGCTACTTGCGCAGCAGCCAGTGAGAACAATAGTTTGCTCTGTATTGTTGAAATGTAGTTTCATTCTTTGGAGAAGTATAGTATTTCTTAATGCTTCGTTTTGTTCTAGGTTCACCTTTTCTCTCGCGGCACAAGAGGGCCTCATGCTACCTCTTCATCTGTGCCAGAGATGACTCTGCATTCATTATGCTGCAGTGTCTCAGAAAACTGAGCCACTAAATATTAATATTGATATGGGGATACTTCTGTTTACATACTGCATATGTGAATGTTCTTTAAGCTCATCAAACCTCAGTCAGTGTCTCATTCATTAAGCAATGACCTCTGTCAAGTGTGTGTTCAGGGTAAGACTGGCCGTTAAAGAGGTAGGCCGTGTTTTTCATAAACAATGATACTTAATGCCAGAGGAGACCCTAATGGTTGAGTGCATTGACAGCTGCAGAGCATGTTTGTGCAGTATCTGGGTGTTTTAGGGACTTTAGACACCAAGTTTGACTTTCCGTTGCCAACTCCACACTTGAGTGGAAAGAGGAAAGTCCCAAATTGACCCTGGTAATCAGACCCTGCTCTGAGGGTGGAGTAGGATAAGGTTAAAGACAAGGAGGTAAGGTGTTATTTGTGTGTGTGTGTGGGTGCATATGCATGCTAGTATATGCACATTTATGGGTTGTATGAGTGTTTGTGATCCGGTAACATGGCCACATGCAGGGCAGCAGTGACATGGCATCAACTGTTCAGTCGGTTTGGATAGGGCATCTTCTCTCTGCATGTATCCCCGTTTAATTCTCCTCATTCCTACTTTTGGGAGTGCAAGTTCAGCTCTGAGTCTGTATCCAGGTGGCATATGTACAACCTGAGGCAACATATGAGCTGACTGACACACTGCACATCCAATGCAGTGCAATTTGCAAATTCTGTCCTAATCAATCTAGAATTAATCGTAAGGCTTACTTCAGCTTTCATATCTTGTTTCTTTACAATGTAGCCTAATGAGTTCACAAATTTGCACAAATGCAGAAAATTGAGCATTTGTGGGTAAAGCATACAGAAAGCTGTAATGTATAGAAGAGTACAATCAGTTGTAATGTAACAGTATCTGTTCTATACTGTAAAAACACGGGTGTGGAGGCTGAGACATGAACAAAATAACATTAAAAAAATCCTTTCCATGACATCATTAAGAGGGCACAGAAAAGTTCAGAGAGGAAGTTTACCTTTCAAAGCCTTTCTGTTTTTGATACTCTTTGTCTATTGATCTGACGTTAACACATAAATGGTAATATGCCCAATTTCATAAAAAAAAGTACATGTAACTCTGCACATTACATGTTGTTGAAGTCCGTATTTCCATGTTGCATGCTCTGGTATAAGGTGGGACAGAAATACACTTTATAACATTACCTGCAGAATTTCTCCGTTACATGCAACTGTATTTTAACTGCTCATCAAGTCTTGAAATAGCTACATTGAATTACAATTTAATCTAGAAGCTTTTATTTATTAACACGACTGAACAATTCAAAGCGGTGAAAAATTGAAAGAAAAAAGAAAATTACAAAGGAAAATTTAAAAAAAAGTGTGCCTTGTGAGCATGGCTGAGAATTTCAATGAATTTATGTTGTCCATGTTGACAATTAAGAAACAACATGCAGGCAGGGTAGCCTGCTTCTGTAGGCTACAAGCCCAAAAGCCCAAAGCATCCGAACCGAGAAAAGCATCGATCCTTGAACTTCTTCAGAAATTCAGTATTAGATGTTTTCAACTTGCATGCAAAGCAGACAGATGTGAAAGAGTTCGGAAATGCAGAAATTATTTTGAATTCAACGAAGTGTTTTCTCTTTGCCCTCCTTCACTCAGTTTAATTTGCCCTCAAATCGAAACAGAGCGATTACAGCGCTGAGAGGGAAAGCACCGCACTCATTAAAAGCAGATCAGCCCTATCGCAGCTGCTGCACACTACCTGCAGTTGTTAGGTGCGCTGGGATACACATTATCTACACTAAACTTCTATTTGCTCTTTTTCGAAAATACATTTGCGTAAGAGTCAATTACTTTGAACGCTTATCTTAAATACACCAGTGACACAAAAGGAAACAGATTGATGCCCATTTGATTTCGTGGGGATGGAAAAAAAGCGCACTATTGGCCACTTTGGATTGGACTGATCCCATCACCAAACTGTCACTGAACGTCGAGAAGTTTCCTTCACGCGCACACACCTGACACTTCTTCAGATCCTGAGCGCCTCGTCCCCGGTTGATGCCGAGGATCATGACCATGAACGGTGACCACCAGTCGGTTGCCACCGCGCCGCTGGATCTGCGCACCACTACCCGAGAGCGTGGGAGCCCCGGGTCGAGGACTCCGGACTGCAAAGGTCGCGCTAAGGGCTCAACTGCACCTTCAGCGTGCACAGGAAAAGACAGATTGGAAATACACTGCTCCGCGGTCAGAAGCGCACCGGACCCAGAAGCCGGCGCTGCTCGTAAACGGCCAGCGGACAATTCTTCCTCCAGGCTACCTTTAAGGAAACGCCCGATTATTGTCGTGCCGGAGACCCAAACGCAGTCAGCGGTTTTACCAGAAAGCGGAGATCGCCTTTCTCGTGCAGTAGATACGGACTTCACATTACGAGGGAGGTATACCGGTCGTTTGGAAAGAGCCGCGAATGAAAGCAGGGTCGACGCAGCACCAGTAACTCTCAGCCGGGTAGAAGAGGCAGGGCAGAGTCCAGATCGATATCCCATTCGCTTCCTGCACCCGCTTGATTACGGTAAGTGTTACTGACCAACATTCAGTCTATTACCCGAGCACCCAATAACTTGTTATTTTCTTGAATTTTTTTTAGGCTCAGAGGCTATATAACAAGAATCGTTTTTGATCTTTGTTACACCACGACGTTTTGCATTGAGTTCTATAAAGTACTCATCTGAAGTGATCTGAAGTGGGTTATGTGATTTCTAAGAAAGTCATTATTATGTATGGCCGAAATAATCAGGGTGGGACATGTGCATAGATAGAGGGTCTCTCTGCACCCTGTTGAATGGTGAGACTAAGTTAAAGACAACATGTAGCTGTCAAAGGCAGATCATGGCGCAACCTGTAGGGGCTCTCTAAAGATTTGTTTTTGGTATAAATATACATTTGTTTGTATCACTACCCCCCCCCTTCTTCAATACATTTGGTCACCAGTGTGTCACAGGTAGAAGAAAATACAGTAGAGTAGATGCAGCAGCAGCTGCTGAATCAATGAGAAAATGTCCCGTCAGCTATTCTCCTGCACTGATTAAGTAGCTCACTGGGTCAACTCATAACTGAATACTACACATACACACCTACATGCACAGTTGCACTTCCATATTACAAAAAATGACTTGTTTGTCAGTGCAGCCTTTTCATTTGTATATGTATCTTAATCATTTTCCTCTTCCTCTCTTCCACCTTTTATGTCTTTTATTTACACCTCTCTCTCTTTCTGTGTCATTCCTGCGCAGGTCCACTGTACTGTTTGCCCCCTGTCCCCGAGTTGAACCACCCTCTGGCCCACCAAGCCGAAAGCCTGCTGACTGGTATTGCTCTGGCTACACGTCAAGATGAAGACGGAGACACGTATGTTAATATCTTTAAACTGGCTTTGGCTGGAAGTTATGTCACATATCCAAGTCACGTATGCATACAGTAAGCTTAGAAGATTGCTGTGATTCATACAACTACAACTTATGAATTTTTATAATTAGTGCATTTTAGTCAGACGGCTGTGTTGACAGTCGAAACTTGGCACAATTCTAAGATCTGAAAACTTACTACAGTCATAAACTTTCATTGGATTTCCGTCAGATTTAGAGCATTCATTGTCATTTTCTTTAGACGGACCCAGCTCACATCTACACCTGTAGAGACCAAGAGTTTGATTGAGATTTATACCCTAAATTTAACATACAAAATATAGTTAACTTCTTGGAACATGATACATGAATCGTGTATCTTTCTGTAAAGCTGCATTCTCAAATTTGTGAACCAATAGGCCTTTACCACAGCAGACATTTTAGCTTGTTGGAGTTAAACATGTCCCAGTAAGCCATCATGGTGGAACAGTGAACCAGCAAAGCACAATATCATGGGCAACTGTGGCTAAGTGGATAGCAGGGCCGTCCTTCAATCAGAGGATCGGTGGTTTGATCCCTGGCTCCGGCTCTGCTAGTCGCATGTTTATGTGTCCTTGAGCAAGACACTTAACCCCAAAATAGCTCTAGAAATGTGATAGAATCTGAATTGTAAGTTGCTTTGGATAAAAGCGTCTACTAAATTAATGTAATGTATCAGGACCCAGCAACCGTCATCATTAATTCTTATCATTCACACCTCAGCTTTTCCTACTGTGACATGTTAAAATGTCCTGAATGAAGAAGTCCTGTGACATTTCAGTCTGCATGGAAGCTCCTTGCCAGTCAATGCAGATCCGCTCTCTGGGGGCCTGACACTTTCACTACTTGACCTCTCTTCTCAAAGGGCAACCAATACCATTTTCGTTAAAAGTCAATATAAGTCAATGAAATTGGTAACATAAATAACAAGTCAATTTGTCAAAACGATTCACAGGGCTGGACCCAGACAACGTCTAACGGTCTTACCTCATAAAGAAATCTTTTTGCGTTGCGCAACCTGGAAGTGGTTTGTGAGATGCCTGTAATATCATCTCAGATTATTTGTTTTGCAATCTGTGACACACCTGGTTTTGTATATTGAACAGGTACAGTCAGCCCCCCACTTCATCCACCTAAATTCTTTACTGCTGTTTCACTTCCTGTCAGGGAAACTGGTTCAGTTCAACCTGGAATGATTCGTAAGTGGCAATGGAGACTTTGATCTAACACAACAACCTGGAACCTGTAGCACTTGAATCAGAGCTTCTTGAATAAATAGGCATTGCATGGATGAGATAGTGTGTGTCTTAACCAACCTTTCATTTTAAGTATCTCAGGGCGTAGGATGGGGGGTTGAGAATGAGAACACTGTAGAGGACACTGGAAGAGTTCTCGAGACTATTAATGCAAATGTTTAACTTTAACGCATGGTTACTTTACTTTGTCTAAAGTTTTAACACCCACCCGCCCACACACAAACTGAAATGTCAAACTCATATGAGAACACACACACACACACACACAC